GGGGAACTAGAATTCCCAATCTCCTGGTGATTGGCCCAAAGTCACCCGGCTGGTTTCTTAATGCCTAAGGGAGGACTAGAACTCCCATTCTCCTGGTGATTCACTCAAAATCACCCAGCTGGCTTTCATGCCGAAGGAGGGACTTAGAACTCCCAATCTTACCCAAAGTCATCCCGCTGGCTTTCATGCTGAAGGCCAGAACTAGAAACCACTGTCTCCTGGTGATTGGCCTAAGGAGCCAGCCATCTTTCATGCCTGAGGCCGGACTCGAACTCCCAGTCTCCCGGTTTGTAGCCTGATGCCTTTCCCAGTAGACCAAACAGACCCTCAGCGCACAAAAACACTTCAGCCTCTGAATCCGATGGTGAATCGAAAAGGATGCCGCCGCCCCCTCCTCCTGATTTTGGGGGGAGGGGGATCCTCTAGGCTAACGTTCTTGGACTAGATGACCTCCCCGGTCCCTTCCAATGCTGTTTATTCTGTGTCCTATATCGCTTGATCTCTGCAGTTTTTTTCCTCCTCTTCTTCTCTTCTCTTCCCCCTTGCAGGGTGCTGGGCAGCGTCTCCCAGTTTGAGGAATTTGGACGGGTCTTCCACTGTCCCAAGGGCTCCCCCATGAACCCCACACACAAGTGCTCCGTCTGGTGAAGCCTCCCGCCTGCCTTCATCCCTGCCTGCCCCCAAACCCGGATCAACAGCCGGCTGGCTTCTCCCTGCTCCGTGCCACCGGAAGGGCAGAGGGAGAGAGGAGAGAAGACCTCCTAAAATTCCTAGAGTGGTCCAGGCTCCGGGGATATGCCCACATCTGTCAACAGCCCCCACACTGCACCCCAAAAATCTTTGGTGCGCCAGAGTATAAATAGGTAACACAAGGTCTAACACACCTCCTGCGATCTCTCTATCCATCTTGTGGTGACCCAAAGGGGCGTGGCACAAAGGCAACACAGTCAAATAAGGAAGAAGAGTCCCTTTATTATCTCCAACTTTTCCCCCAATGTCCAGGTTACCTTCTGGCTGGAGAAAACCTCACCCTGGAACAGCCTTTGGCTGCAGAAAATTCAGTCCAAAACATGAGCAACACAAACTGTAACTTAAGAGTCCAAACAAGCCAAACTGAAGTAATTAGTTTGGCAGGGCAGGAGCAAGAATTTCAGACTTGAAAACATGGCAAAACTCACACGGTTGGAAAGATGCCAGGAACACAGATAAGCCTCGACGAGGCCAGATAAATTCATGATTTGCTCCCAACAAGAGCTTCCCTTTTTAAACACTGTGTTCCCAGCTGCAGCTAATGAAGGGAATCAGGGCCCTTTCCTCCCCGTAAGCCACGCAACCCATGTTGCTCCCTTCTCCGTTCCTCCCTGCATGCCCTAGGATAAAGACTGGATGGGCCTGGGTCTTCCTCCAAACTCCCTCTCCCTTGTTCTACCTCTTCCCTGCTCTGCCCAGCCGGACTTTGCCCTTCCCCAGTTTCTTCCACAGCCAACGGAGCCCCACTCCCCGTCAGTTGCTCGGCCTCCCCCTCCGAATCAGATTCCGACAGGGGCATGGCACATCTGTGCAATCGCTCAGGACACAAAAAGAACCGTTTCCGAATGAATATTTTTCCGCTGTTCATTTTGGATTGCACCAAAGCTTTTCCCCATTTGCTTCCAGACTCCAAATTCTTTCGTTGGGGTGGGTGGGAAGGAAGGCGGGGGGGGGGGGGGGG